CGCGTCGACAATCAATCGAACAGTCTCGCCAGATGGAAAACCGGTCGCGATTGCACGAGCCTGAAGACGAGCGCGCGATAATTGCCCATCCTTATATCTTCTTTTAAGTCGTCTCCATTTTGTATTACGAGAGATCATTGCTCTTGATCAGTATCTCGATAATGAGACACATCTGCGAAGAGTATCTAAATATACATACATATAGGCGCAACAGCTATTCCTGTTCATTTCCTGTTAACGTTCAATTGTATTCCGCGCCTCCTCCTCAGATCACCAGACGTAGTACCTGCCCTCTGTGCCGATAGCGCCACACGGTTTATAGTAACAGTAAAGTTTTTTGGGGGTATTCGGTCCGCGCTACCCAACTGTATCCGGTCCTCCATCTTCATTCCTTTTCTTTGTGCCAAAGGAAAGCCACAACGGTTGTTGAACTGTGTAGAAATTATCGATATAATGGGTCATAAACGAAAATCTTGTAGTGAGGATATAGATATCAAACTCGCTAAGAAGCTGAAACGGTTGAAACAGAAATTGAAGGAACACGAAAGAGAAATTCGACACTTACACAAGGAACGTAAGTCTAACCTCATTTTTTCTTGTTACAGTTGCATTCTCTCATGCTCGATTCAAGGCTTAATACACGCGAGACAGTTATGTGTCCTAGGCAGAACGCCTCGTAAGAGAACCGAACGTTCAGGCAACGTTCTGTATGCCGAAAATGCGGACAGGTTTCGCGGGATAAACAAGGTTTCCCCACGGACACATAACCGAGAACGGTGTAAATCACCCATCTTTAATCGAAATGGTTAAAGAAGTTCTCGTAGGTGGGAGAGTCAAGCACTCACCTAACCTAAAAGTGACAGAGTCGGACAACTTCCCCTAAAAGGCAGGGCGTCTCGCATCATCACGAGAACGGTGCAAGCCACCTATTTCTTTAGTCGAAATGGCTAAAGAAGCTCTCGTAGGGTAGAATAGTCAAGCGTTCACTAACCCGTAAGTGACTGCGTCGCGCAACTTCATCTGGAAGATAGAACGCTTTGCATCGACATGAGAACGGTGCAAGTCACCATCGCTTAGTCTAAATGACTGAGGGTTCTCTTTGGTCTAACATAACAAATGTTTTACTAGACCACAAATGTGAAGGTCACTTACGCTCTCTCGCAGAATAAAGATCATACAACTTTCTTTATTCTCGTTTGTTTTAGGCAACGTCAGTCGTCCTAGCTCGAGCTCGCTGTCTGCAAAAGGTTCGCAGCGAAACCAATCAGACAGACGCCGTTCGCGAAGCGATTCGGATTCTGGATCGGACAGTATTTCTACATTCCGATCAATAATTCGACAGTCCAGTCAGGATAAACATCGGGACTTCTATATTGCAGAGGCATCGACTTGTTACACCGATTAACGTGATAAAGAGAAAACACCTTCCCTTAAAGAGAAATCACTGGAAACTCCGGTAATTCTCTCGGTTCAGAGCAACGAACAAAATTCTGTTCAACAAATAGAGAAAGGGGAGGTTAACGACACATTAATTTCAACGGAGACTACGGCAGATCCGACCTTGACAAAAGAAGTGCTCGAGGCCATAGGTAAACGTCTAGATTTAGACAAAAAGCGCGGACCACTAATCCACGCTGATATAGTGGCACGATGGTACGACGTATTAAAAGAAGGTTTACCCAAGGAAGATCGTAAGTTGTTGTACGAAAAATATCCTCTACCTATGAACTGCACTCAGTTTGAACCTCCTAACCTTAATAAGGAAGTGAAAATTCCTCTCTCTGATACCATCCTTTCCAGAGATAAACGTATTGCGGAAAAGCAAGAGAAAATATCAGTTTGTCTGGCGGTGCTAGGCTCAACCTTGTCTACCTTATTTGTAAATGAGACATTTGAACGAGTGAACTTAATTAGAGTTCTTAGTGACGTCACTCGCATGTTGGTTGACCTGCTACGAGACGAGACTAGTATTAGACGCTTTATTCTTATAGCTAACCTAAATCCGACACTAAAAGAAATTTTGACGATAACAAATCCAGGCGAATGGCTATTCGGAGGCGATCTAACAGAGACTCTCAAAACTGTAAAATCTTTAGAAAAATCCTCTAAAGATTTAAAGCCGATTGCGAAAACCCCGACTGCATCTCTCAACACACCAAAAAACTCGAAGGGCCCCCCTCATCAGAAAAAGAAGCAAACAGTTGATGGAGGGGCATCGCAAACCGTTTATCCCTACAACGAAAAGGCCCAATTACAAGAAGAGAACGTCGAGATCGAGGTCGAGGTCGAGACACAGCTCGTACAGGAAACGTCGCTAATACCGGCAAGTATTTTATCTGGTCGCTTAAAATTTTTTCTGCCTAACTGGAAACACCTCTCTACGGATAAAACTATCCTGGAGTGGATTGAAGGCTATACCATTCCTTTTTTCACCCAACCAACTCAAACGACTGAACCAGCGGAATCACACTGGTCAAAGAAGGAAAAAATACAAATGGCAGAACAAATACGCGAATTGATACACAAGGGCGCTATTCAGCCATGTGAGAAATGCGATGGTCATTTTCTTTCTGACATTTTCCTCACCACCAAACCTGACGGCTCTAATCGTTTTATACTAAATTTAAAGAGTTTGAATAAATTTATAAATGCAGAACACTTTAAACTAGAAGACATACGGACAGCTCGTGATATCATACAACCAAATTGGTTTATGGCGACTATAGACTTAAAAGACGCATACTATCTCGTTCCGATTGCAGAGTCTTCTAAGAAATTTCTTAGATTTGTTTTCGATGGACAAATATACGAGTTTAATTGCCTACCCTTTGGGTTGAATACTGCGCCGTATGTCTTCACTAAATTAATGAAACCAGTAATAACTTGGTTACGTGAACGAGGGATCATTTCCGTCATTTATTTGGATGACTTCCTTTTACTCGGAGAGTCCGAAGAAAGGTGCTCAGAAAATGTTCGCATAACCTGTTTCCTGTTAGAATATCTGGGATTTATAATTAATAAAGATAAAAGTCAGTTAAAGCCAACAACAAAGCAAAAGTTTTTAGGTTTCGTTATAAATTCAAACGAGATGAAGCTGGAACTACCTAAAACAAAACGCGAAGGAATTCTCAAATTATTACGAAAGTTTAGAGTAAATTCGAGTTATAAAATTCGCGATTTTGCTTCGTTAATAGGCATTCTTAGTTCTACTTGCTTAGCAACTAAATACGGCTGGGCTCACATAAAGGATTTAGAACGCGAAAAGTTTTCGGCCTTAAGAAATAACGGAAACAACTTTGATTCATATATGAAACTAACATTTAGAATAAGAGATGACTTGATTTGGTGGAAAGAAAATATCATTTACAGTTTCAATCCCATATCAGGCCCAAATTTCATCACAGAAATCTTCTCCGACGCCTCTCTGTCAGGTTGGGGCGCGAGCTGCAAAGAAGAAAAAACTCACGGATTTTGGAACAACGAGGAACGACAATATCACATCAACTATCTGGAACTACGAGCAGCTTTTTTCGGCTTGAAATGCTTCGCAAGGAAATTCAGAAATTGCGATATTTTATTGCGCATTGACAATACCACGGCCATCTCTTATATCAATCGAATGGATGGAATTCAATTTGAACACCTAAGTAGTATGACCAAGAAAATCTGGTCCTGGTGTGAGCATCGCAATATCTGGATCTTTGCTTCTTATATTCCTTCAAAAGATAACACAGTGGCGGACGAGGAGTCAAGAAAACTGGAACCAGAGACGGAATTCAGCCTCTCACAAAAGGCCTTTGATCATTTGTGTACGACGTTTGGCAGACCAGATATTGATCTTTTTGCTAGTAGAATCAACAATAAATGTCCAAATTATGTTTCCTGGAAACAAGATCCGGGATCTATCGCGATAGACGCGTTTACCATAGAATGGAATGATAGCTTTTTCTATGCCTTTCCACCGTTTACATTAATACCTAAAGTACTAAAAAAGATCATTAATGATAACGCCAGAGGCATTTTGGTCGTGCCATATTGGCCGTCTCAAGCTTGGTTCCCCCAGTGCATGCAGATGTTCGAATCAAAACCTGTCGTTTTTAAACCTAAATTTAGTCTTTTGCGTTCCTCCAATAGGGATCCTCATCCACTATGGTACCAACTTTCCCTGGTGGGCGAAATCTCATCGAGCAGGTCTACCAACAGAAAAATATGACGCCTGAGGCAATTAGAATCAGTATCGCATCCCTGAGTGATTCATCAATACGATTCAGCTCTAAGAAAATGGTGGAGATTTTGCCACCTTACGGAAACATCAGTTTTTTCCGCTACGATTCCAGATGTTTTACGTTTTCTCACCAGCGAATTCGAGAAAGGGGCAGCTTACGGATCTATTAATTCTCCGAGATCAGCAATAGCATTAATTCTGGGACCGCATGTGGGCGAAGACGTTTTAGTCAAAAGATTCTGCAAAGGCATCTCAAAACTGCGACCAGCATTACCTAGATATGACTCAACATGGGACCCTAAGAAAGTTTTAGATCTCATTTCACAATGGTGTCCTAACGAAAATATTTCGCTAGAACTACTATCAAAGAAAGTTGCAGTATTGCTAGCTCTAACTACGGGCCATAGAATACAAACCCTGACAGCTATTAATATTTACAATATCACGAAGAAGTCCGATCAGATCGAAATAAAAATCCCTACGCAACTTAAGACATCAGGACCCAGAAAATTTCAACCAAATCTCACCTTACCATTTTTTCCGGACGATCCTACTATTTGTGTAGCATCAGCATTAGAAACATACCTTAAGCGGACCAACCATCTACGCAAAGATAAAGACAAGCTTTTCATATCATGGAGAAAACCACACAAAAACATTACAACTCAATCTCTAAGTCGATGGATTAAGGACACACTCCAGGAGAGTGGAGTAGATACATCGACCTTCACTGCACACAGTACTCGCCATGCATCCACTTCTGCAGCCAAGAGAAAGGGCGTTAATATTGACCTGATAAGAAAAACCGCCGGGTGGACTCTCAGGTTTTTGCGAGGTTTTATGACCGTAAAATCAAAGAAGATCGCAGTGCATTCGCAATAGCAATCCTAAATCATTAGACCGTATGTACGCACATATATATTATATAATGCTTAACAATAACTCTATACAGTTCAACACCTTCAATTGCCTCCTTTAAACATCTACGTCTGGTGATCTGAGGAGGAGGCGCGGAATACAATTAACCGATTAAACGAACTTACCTTAAGTGAAGTTCTATCGTAATTGTATGAAGCGCCTCCTCCGAAAGATCAGTCCCACCCTATAAAACCCCTCTGACTAACGTCATATAGACCCAATCTAGCAGACGGCAATCCTTTAAAGTAATGAAGATGGAGGACCGGATACAGTTGGGTAGCGCGGACCGGATACCCCCAAAAAACCTTTACTTACTGTTACTATAAACCGTGTGGCGCTATCGGCACAGAGGGCAGGTACTACGTCTGGTGATCTTTCGGAGGAGGCGCTTCATACAATTACGATAGAACTTCACTTAAGGTAAGTTCGTTTAATCGGTTAATTCTACATCAAGATGTCCTAGAAACTGCAATATATTCAATACTTTTAGTTAGAAATTGATCTTTCGACAAGATAGACTTTGTCTATAATGATTTTTTATGATTTTTTAATTTCTCAATTTTATGTATTTATTAGAATGGAACATTGAGAACTTTAATCTTGAAATTTCTATCATAAAGGAAGGAAAATAATAAAATTGCATTAAAATTTAATGAGATGTACTTTACATATTTATATATGAATAGCGTGAGTGACTAATTTTTATACTAAAAAGCTGTATTCCATTTTCTTTCAATGTTGAATATAATCGCGTAACTATTGACACTTTAAACAAGATGAAGTGTCGTACATTTAAGAAATCTAAATAACGACAATATTTAAAAAAATATGTATTTCTTAATTTACTTTATCTAAGTTATACCTCTTGCCATTACAATTTCAGATATGATAATGATTCCAAAATCGATTTAGTAAGTATGGTTAATATGTAATTAATTGCGCGCTGTTACGTCAGAGCTCTTTTATATCATGCATGATAATGCGATGTGAATTTGGTACGGCGGCTTTGACACAAGTCCGCATGTATACTCGGACATCAATACACAGTTTTTCTCTGTTCCGACGGTTGAGACGTTAGCAACGGTGACAAAAAACGCACCGCGGCGCAGTACGGTCATGACAAAGTACACGGCCCTCCTTTGACACACGTGACTAACGAACGACCTATTAGGGCCCGGATTCGATTGGGGGTACGTTCCCCTCCACCGCGTCGTGATCCTTACGAACCGACACCGCGTTTTCACTTCGTCTCGCGACTTTCGTACAATTCACTAAAAATCGTTGTCTCCGAGCAGTGTCTATTCGAGCCGAACGCGACTCAAGAGTTCTTCTCTCTAGGCGTTGTCGCGTATCCGTTCCAAATCACGATAAATCTGGGCAACAGCCCTTAAACGTGGTCGACTCAGGGCATCAGCCCCTAAGCGTTGTCGACATCAGTGAATCAAACCATTACGCGAACATATTCCGTCGCAACAGCGATGTGAAATACAAGCGAACATTCATCGTCGTAACACAAAGTGTATCGTGGCAATGCGAATAAGTTAGCCAGTAATGCGTGGTTAAGACATAGTGACCGATATTTGTGAACATAAAAACTAATAAAGACTACGAAACAGTGTGAATATTAATTTATTCCCGCTGACGACAGAACACGCGCACTGTAAACTTTTAAGAATACTAATCAATTTTAATGCAAAATCGATCTTTTGAAAAAAATATACATATAGCTTTATTAAAAAGAGTTGCATATAATCACAAGTAAAATCAAATTGTAAGCCAACATTTCAACAATTAAAATTTCGTCAAATCGGAATAAGTTTATCAAAGTAAACAAAAGAAGTCGCGAATTCGCAGAACAGCGATACTTCGTGTGCCGGAGGATTTCATTCATTACAAGCGGAAACTGGCCGTGCTTTCGCGCGCGCGCAAATGTGCTATTTTTAGAACGGTGGAATGGAAGAATGAGAGAGCGAGCGAGCGCCGCGCGTGAGAATATACTATGGTTTCGCGCACGGTCGAGAGACCGACCCCGCGCATTTGCTTCATCATCGCTGTCACGCGTATATATTTATATTGCATTCACAATATTCTTTTGTAATATTGTCTTGCGATGCAGTATCGTTATGAACATGGTGATTCTCCTCACTCCCGAGAGGTAGTTGTAATTTGATAAATTTAATTTGAAAATGCTTATTTTTCTGTGACATCCTGGAAAATTAATTTCCCATTTTTTCAACTTTATTTCTTTCCTTTCTTCCGTTATTATGCATTTGATTGTGCTCCCTAGGATGAAATTGTCTTTTGAATCTATTTCTCGGTTGTGAGTGAGCTCATTATGATTAAACATCTTTTTATCTTTGTTATTTTTTAAATTATAATTTATTTAAGAAAATTTTATTGTCTTTGAAGAAGGCTCAAAAATGAGTCGAAACATGTAAGCTTATTTACTTAATAATTTTTTATAATAGATAGATTTGCTAGATAGGGGAAGCCCGGGCAAAATGGACGCCCTAGGCAAACCGAATACTTTTTATTTTTGCTTATCTATCAGAGATGGTGCTATGAATCTCTAGCTGTTGCAGGAATAACCGGCCGGCGACGCTATGAAAATACAAAACGCAATATGATTGCGATTGTTTATGTTTTATATACAAATATACGAAATTGTGTGTTTTCTTACGATTTTTGCTTAGATACATAGTGTAATTATTAGCAATAATTGTTTCTTAACCAGTGTGAATAAATTTTTATAGGAATTCTCTGTCTTTAAACGTGCATTAGAGGTTAAAATTTTTCACTTGTTGCTGAAACTTATTCTAATTTTTCTTAATTTGCGCCAAGTAGGTTCTTTGAACAAAGTGAGTGGGGGCAAAACGAATAGCACATCATCACTGCTGGACCTAGCTGTAGTGATGTAAACAGAAAGCGAGTTAAAAAAGAAAAGTCTGTTAATGATTAAGAGAACGTACGTTACTTCTGTTTGGTGTGTTCTCAAGAATACATCGATTCAACCATCCGAAGACTGGATCCAGTGCTTAATCAATGCACTCATGAAGGCTGCACAACGTATAGAGGATTTGGCAGCTACTTTTGTGACAATATTAATTTTGATATTTTTTTATTATATTCTCATTATTCGAGTAATATTCACTTTACCCAGGGGGGTTGGGTAAAGCGGATGATTTTTCTATTTTTACATTTTTATTTAAAATACATATAAGTGTTCAAGTTTTTCATTTTATTTAATTTTATTTTAAAGTTTATTCTATAATGAAATTTTAAGAAAAAAAAGTTTCTGATCTTAATTTTAACTATGTCATTTTTCTTCCCAAGCCTTAACATATCCACACTGCCCGGGCTTCCCCTAAATATTCAATATGGCGATGAAATGTTGCAAGTTATTCCGTTCGGCGGACATGGTAGTACACGGAACATTTTTCGTGACCAACTTTTTTCTCCATATCCTATCTAATTAAGTCTCCTTACTCTTACTTCATGAATATAGCTCAAAATGTAGCCCCAAGTCTCTACTTTGTTACTCTAAAAGGATTTAATGGTACACGCATTCGTTTGCGAGTAAGAGCTAGGAAAGTGAAGTAATGTCGCTCCGTCACCCTATCGGCGCGGGCGAGTCATCACGCTCGGCCCAGTCGCCCGACATTCACTGTTAGTCCCTGATGACATTTCTGTACATGCACATGAGTTTAAAAACAATTGCTCTCAGCGTTTAACAGAGTTGAGACTGTCTTTAAATAATACCTTAATGCCTGCATAATTGTTTTTTTTTTTAATTTTTATTCTATTTGTTATTTTTCTATTTATATTTTTTGAATTATTTTGATATTTTATAATATCATTTATTTTTGGGGGAAAGTTATTTGAGTAGTGGCATTAGAAAATTTCTTAATGGATAGATTCTTTTCTCCAGAAAGTGGAATAAAACAGTGATTCTTTTGCGTTGAGGGCACTGTTTTAGCTGCAGTCTTCTTGGTATCCGAAGACGAACACGAAACTACTAAACAAAGCTGGCAGCCAGATTTTTCGCAGCTAAAACGGTGCCCTCAACGCAAAAGAATCACTGCTTTATTCCACTTTCTGAAGAAAAGAAACTATCCATTAAGAAATTTTTCAATGCCACTACTCAAATAACTTTCCCCGAAAATAAATGATAAAATATCAAAATAATCCAAAAAATATAAATAAAAAATAAAAACGACAAAAAAAGAACAAAAATATAAAAATAACTAATAAAAATAACAAACAGAATAAAAAAAAACAATTATGCGGGCATTAAGGTATTACTTAAAGAATTAATGCGGACATTAAGGTATTACTTAAAGACAGTCTCAACCCTGTTAATCGCTGAGAGCAATTGTTTTTAAACTCATGTGCATGTACAGAAATGTCATCAGGGACTAACAACGACCCATGCCGGGCGACTGGGCCGAGCGCGATAACGCCGCCGGCAGGGTGACGAAGCGACATTGCCTCACGTTCCTAGCTCTTACTCGCAAACAAATGCGTGTACCATTAAGTTCTTTTAGAGTAACAAAGTAGAGATCTGGGGCTACATTTTGAGCTATATTAAAAGAAAATTGAGACTGGCCTTTTAGGCACGCCGCCATTTTGAAGATTTCAAAACTGACAAACATCGTCGTAAATCGGTCTGATCAAAAAAAGAGTTTCTTACGTAAAAGAGCGTTCAATTTTCTATAAGGAAACGTCTACATTTCATTTTAAAACTTGCCTTTCATGCCCATTAACGACAAGCGAAAAGAGCGCTGCGACGAGAAAGCCCAAAAATTGACGGCTCTACAGTTCGGCAACCAGTTAGCCTACAGATATATTATTCGGCATAGAATCATTATTCATCAAACTGTTCAAGTTCAAGCAATATGAACATAATCCATGAAACTTCACAAAATGGGTGGCCCCCTTGGCATGGAATGCCCCATTTATACAAA